GAATTGCGTATAGAATTGCGTATAGAAAGAAAACGAACCACTTCTATTCTCGGAGCTGAGGTATATGAAGAATGGCTTTTTGGTCCCTTTCGTCCAGTGATTAGGACATCGTCTTTTCATGTCGAAGACACGGGTTCGATTCCCGTAATGGAGAGGATACGCGTCTGACCACAACTCCATGGAAAATGCATTTCGGAAGGGAACGGAGTTCAGTTCACGAGACCTCAGCGGTGTGGAGCAGCCGCAACTCTACAAAAGTGAAATGACTATGATTTAGAAGTAGGAGTCAGACCTAACTTGCTCTTGCTTTCTGAGCTAGCTAGCAAGCATTCGCAAGACTACTTTGTTAAAATGAACATAAAATAAATCTCCTAATAAAAGCAAGGGCAAATTTGGGGACACAACTAGACTTGTACATCACAAAATTAACTACCATTCTCACTCTTTGTCGTGAGCCTCCCTTTCTAACAGTCACTAACCTTTTCTTGGTAATAGCGGTAAGATATTTTAAAAATTTTAATAAAAATAATTTTCAAACCAAAAATAAAATTCACATGAATAAACGCAAACCCCACTTCTAGGGTATAACTTGCTGCATACAATTGCATGGATGGGGCCAATGAATTCCCTTTTCATGGACTCGTTTCTTCTTCGATTTGTATTCTCTGACAATAAATAAGGAGGTTGCGTGCGGATGGCGCAGAACAATTGCCAAATATACTGTCGAGGAATGGAACCAAAACCTCTGCTTAGAAACTTACAATTCTATATAATGTTATTGCTTAATCGATGGATATTTTACCTTGCAATTAAGAATTTGTCCTAGAAAATAAAGTGATTCCGAGAATTCATGATTCGTAAAGATTGGAATTTATCGATACTCTCCAATGATTGGAATATATTAATCATGCGACAAATATTGATGATATTGTATTCAGATATAGTTGCAATTAAATGGTTTATATGCATGAATTGGAATAAGTTTCTAAATGCTACAATGAATGACTCCAACTATTTTCGAGATGAATAATGCTATTTGTAGTTGATGACTACAGTAGTCTCGTTACTTGACGTCCGACTTGTAATAGTTTCATTATTAATATGAAAATCCATTTGCTTTTTTTTTTTTTATTTTAATAAAAAAATCATGACACGTGAGATGTTCTATAGGATAACTACTGCAATTGCTTACTATGAATAAAATTATTCTATTAAAATAGAGTGTAATTTGAACCATGATAATATTCCAATTTGAGATGGTATGAAATAATATTTTAAATGGATTAAACTTATTTCATTCCATATTTCTCGTAACAAATCAATTCGCATATGATTGGTTTCTATTTTCTAACTCTGTCAAAATAATTTTGAATTTTATATCCCGGCAATTAGTGTTCGAGATATTATTATTATTATTATTATTATTATTATTATTATTATTATTATTATTATTATTATTATTATTATTTTGTGTTCATCAAATCATTCAGTTTAGAAGAGTACAATCAAAATGTGATTCGTTCGACAAGGTTATTTTCATGTTATTTTAATCTAAAGAAGTATTGTTTCTTAAGAATTATTTTTTGGATTGTGTGCCCGCATAGTATATATATTTTGTCGTGATAAAATAATAATTTATAATAAATAAATTGAGATTTTATTTATTGATTGTATTTATTTATTATTGAGAATGCAAATTAAAGTGCTTATAATCACTTGCGATAATATAAATTAGGTACTTGCGTTGAGAAGTAATGTGATACAATTTATATTTTGATTATAAATAATTTGTTCATAACTAACTATAAGTATTGACATTTTGTACTGCAAGGTTGTAGTATTTACCGATTCACTATTCGGGTATGTGATTTGTCTTTATCACAAAAATAGTGAAAAGGTAACACTAGTAGACTATTGAACCGAACATGTGTTGAGTTTAACTCTACAGTATGATCATGTGAAAAATTAAACTTCATTTGATCGTCGTGTATTTCAGCTAAATCCCAAGATAGGATTATGTATATCTTCTCGTGACTTTAATTATTCTTTGATGTACCAATGAGTGACATCAATTTAATTGGTTCAATATCTTGATGAGTTGGGAACTTGAGAATGAATAAAGTAGAGAACATGAATTCGTGTCGTGAACTGTCGCACTAGAAAATTGGTAAAGTGACTACTTAAGCATTTTTTATTGACGGTTAAATTTTGAGTTCAATGTTTAGACTGTTGAAGAAAATGGTACTTAAATTAGTGAGAATAATTAGAAAGACAAAATGTGTTTATGCCCCTACCTAATTATCGAACCTCGAACGCGGATAAAATACATATATGACAAGTCAGAGGAAGTATTATGGATTTATTAGTTTCTGCGATTTTATATATTTCAAGAGTACAGTCTTTTGACTTAATGGAAAAAGTAAAGATTAATAATTAGAATTGGTGGTCTATGGTCGATTAGACAATATCTTATTATTGAAGCTTGGATCATATATGTCTGATCATGTCCCTTAGGTAGCTCTATAAAGTATGTGACTTAATTATAATTATAACAAAAGTTTTGGACTTAACTGTAATTACAATACAATTTGTACTTAATTATAATTAGTACGAAAGTTGCAAACTCAATTTTAATTGTAATTGAAGTTATAAGACTGCACATATAATTAAATATAAAATAATTGAATTTGGACTTTAATTAAAACTCTTATTTGGGTTTTAATTATGTCTTCTATTTAAATGTGGAATTCTTATTATATATGAATTGAAACTATTTTATCTCTATAAATAGAAATTAGATGGAATCTAGATATCTTGTCGGGGGGAAAAAAACGTAATACAATAATTTCATAGTGTTCAATTTTGGAGATAGAAAAAATGATTTTTCTTATTTTATTCAATTGTCCAGTTCAAAAATTAGTTTCTTGATTCAATTTTTAAAAAAAGTGCTTACCCATCGGTGTATTATTGATTTTGGAGAATACCATAGAAGACTTGTAATAAATAGACAACATAATTTGTAGTTTTTCTAGTCACACTATGTTTCCAATTAATAAATAGACAACATATTTCCTCAATGTTTAGCATCAAATGACTTCTAGTGATGGTATAAATAATCCCCTTTTTATAATGGGAATTATAAAACGTGTATTAAATTAAAATTAAAAATGTCATTAACAATTCCCTTTTTATAACGAAAGAGACAAAAAAGTCTAAATAAGTAAAAGTAAGAATAAGTAGAAAAATCTGCCAAAAGAAAAAAAGTGATCAATCTTTACGGCAGTATCATTTTCTTTTTCTCGAAGGTGGGGAGGAATCTTTTTCATATTCTTGATTGATAGATAACTACAATTCTTTTCCATTTCAAATTCAGATCCCACACTTTTATTTCGAAATTTGAAGTGATTTGAAAAGATAAAGGAAGGTAACTTTACCATGAAGCAATTTCAAATCATTTTGTAATCCTAATTTATGATAATCGATAGATTACAAAAAAGTATTCGACTAGATTATGCAAATTCTTCATTAATACTGATTTCACGGCAGTATCTGAGCCGTGAGTCAAAATCCAAATTTGGCGTATCTCA